TAGGATGAAAACCTCAGGAGGCAGACCCAAAGTCAGAACATAAATTGCTCAAATCCCCAGCCGACCGCAAAGATACATAACACATAAGGGAAACACCAGGTGTCCAATTTAAAAAGACGGTAAACATCAGAGAGATGTTTCTTTCCTGAAGGAAAGAAAGGATCAGAAGGAGGCGTGTGACTTTGAACCATTTGTGGTTAGTTTAGATGGTGGAAATCTGAGAGTAGACAGGCTTGTGTTATCCAGTATAGGTCAGAGCCCGAGAGTGGAAGAATAGCCGGGATGCAAGGAGTTAAAAACCTCTTTTCGCCTTTGTGCGGGGAGGCACTTCTGACCTGGCTTCTAAGTTGTATCTCAGAAGATGGGGTGAGACCTGTTGTCCTTACTGGTAACCCGCTAACTAGGCAGCCTCCTTCTGCTGACTCCTTTTCTTCCCCCACTTTCTGGTAACCCTTCCGGGGGATCAGCTTTCAAAGAAAATATTTGCATTCTAATGCATTCTTTAGCCTCTGATGTTGGGGAAGAAACCAGACAGATAAAAATTACACAAATCATAGTTACCAATGAACATTAATTATGTGATAAATTATACAGATTTTCCTGGCCCCCATTTAAGCATAATTATGAATTGTGTTTGTTTTGATCAACATACATAATTTACTCTCAAATGACAGTAGGACCGAATTAGATGGTATGTCTTGAATCATTGTAATTCTTAAATACTTTTCAATTTTTGATTTGAGGAACTATGCTGGGCAGTTGCCACTAGAATTGTCTGTTTTATTTTTTTATTACTCTTTTTTTTTTGAAGATTTTATTTATTTGAGAGAGAGAGAGAATGAGAGACAGAGAGCACGAGAGGGAAGAGGGTCAGAGGGAGAAGCAGACTCCCCGCGGAGCAGGGAGCCCGATGTGGGACTCGATCCCGGGACTCCAGGATCATGACCCGAGCCGAAGGCAGTCGCTCAACCAACTGAGCCACCCAGGCGCCCTAGAATTGTCTGTTTTAAATAAATATCTAGACTCATACATTTATGATACATTTTAACTAACATTTCAAATAACCTACCAAATACCATGTTCCAATAATTAAAAAAATCCTAAATATAGTTGTGAGAGTGCAGTGATGAATGAGCATTAAAACAAGCCCTTTACCAGCACGTAGTGTGCATTCCCATATCCTAAGAGTCATTTTAAAATGTTCTGGCAGATCTAGAAAATATCATGTGTAGCCTTTCAGTTGGTCCGAGGAACCTCACTGCTCTAACGCTGCTGAGGTCACTTTCTAGAAACACATTCAGACTCTGCACCATGTAGCAAAAGGACTGCTTCTGGATATCTGGCTGAAGTTGTGGCTTTCCTCCCTCCTCCTTTATCAGTCATGTATGGGTGAATATTTTAACTTGACCTTGACAGCATTTTAAGGCACTCCCTCAATTTGAAAACCATTATTTTTTTCAGTTCTTCACTTAAAATCCCTACTTCTTACAAATCATTGAAATATTCATGAATTTAAGCTTTGCTGTTCCCTTGTTTAGTGACTTGGTTGGACTATTTTAGCAAAGTCTGTTTCCCCTCCAGTATGAGGCCATTGATGTTCCTTGGAGGGTGCAGCCTTAGGCAGAGGTTGGTCACTTGGGAATGACAGTCGCTTTAGCAGGACTGCATTTTTTTTAATTTTTTATTGTTATGTTAATCACCATATATTACATCATTTGTTTTGGTGTAGTGTTCCATGATTCATTGTTTGTTCATAACACCCAGTGCTCCATGCAGAATGTGCCCTCCTTAATACCCATCACCAGGCTAACCCATCTAGCAGGACTGCATTTAACTCTCTCGTTCCCTGGGCTCTCTGTTAAGCTGTCTGCCTGTGCTGGTATTACACCCAGTTTGTAGTCTCCATTAATTGCAGGCCGATCAATGATTCCTTGAGTTATAAATTGCTTTCACAGCCTGATCCGACCCCATTCCCTTGCAGAGCAAGTTTCTGAGGCAAGTCTTAGAGGTTTATTCTGACCACAGGACAGGTCTTTTTAGCTGTCTCTTTACCTGGTTCTCTGGTAATGTTCCTGGACTGAATTTTAGCTTATTACTCCCCCTGCTTATCACCAAAATCACTTTGGTTTCTGAGCAACATTTGTCTTTCAGATGAAGTCAGTTTCTTTAGTGAGAGCTTTGGAGCTTTCTGTTTTCATGCATGTCCTCCCCATCAGGGCAGACTATCTGAGTCTTTGCTTCATATCCAGAGACAGGGACAGAGGCTTGATCCTGTCAGAGGGACAGCCCTGGTTTATGGCCCAGTATGGCAACCTCTCATCTCCTTGGCTTGCCTCCCCAGCATTGCTCTTGCACCCTCTGAAGGGGCTTAGAGAAAGGGTAATGGTTTCCTCCATCTTCTGGGCCTGCCATGCCTGGGGCACCTGGAGCTGAGCCCCCAACCTATTAGTGAGGGTTGAGAAGAGGAAAGGGGACCTTAATTTCTCAGCTTCAAGTGGTAGGAATTTAGCCTCTGCAACTTGCAGCCAATAGGGATGAGAAATGCTGGCAACCTGGCCCTCCTGGTGAGGTAGCATATCCCTTAACTAGGAAATGAGGGAGAAGAAGCTCTATTTGTTTGGTGCCACCCCCGACCCCCGGCAGATTAGAGATTCTGTAAAAACTCTGAGGCAAGGAGGGGAAGGAGAAAGCAGGTGATGCTCAAGTGTCACAGACCCTGGTTGTTGGTATCATAATTTAGAAGATTTTTATCTTATTTATTTTTATTCTTTTAAAAAATTTGTTAAGGATTTTATTTATTTAGTTACTTACATACTTACTTATTTACTTAGAGAATCTCCAGCAGACTCCCCGCTGAGTGTGGAGCCTGATGCAGGGCTCGATCTCATGACCCCGAGATCATGACCTGAGCCGAAATCAAGAGTCAGACGCTTAACCGTCTGAGCCACCCAGGCTCCCCTAGAAGATTCTCAAAAATGTTTCCATGTTTGTGATATGCCCTGGGACAATTTCCAGAGACTTTAAGTGGTTTTTGTTTGTCTGTTTGTTTGTTTGTTTGTTTTAGTAATTTCACCATTTGCAGTTGTTTTGTAGGGAGTGGGGCTTATAGCACTCATCATGCTATCATTCCAGAAGTCATGCCTTCCCTAATTTCTTATTTTAACTGTTATTTGTTCTCTAAATTTACTATGCATTCGACCAATAATATCTGGTTAAATTCTTTAATCTTCACAGGGATCATTTCTGTCCCTTAATTATTTTTATATCCTTTGTACTGTGAAAAATTGACATGACTAAAGAGCTACTGCAGAGAAAACTGTCTTGCCCGCCGCTGTTTGAACTGGGTCATAACCTTTGGACTGGACAGAACTGCAGTTGTTTTAAGCAATTGCTTGAGAAGTCAGCAGGAAAATGGACATCCTGATCACAAGACTGACATTTGTGGACTTTCTGAAGATAGAATCAGTATATAACCAAGAGTAGTGTCAGCCTTTCTTTTTTCTCTTTTCTTAACGGATGTAGTTGTCCGCTTTCCTTTTCCTTATAAAAACTCCTTGCTTTCTGCTTACAAGCAGGACACTATTTGGGTTTCTATCTGAATCTGTGTTGTCTGAATGGCACTTCTTTGATTCCCAAAATAAACACTAATTTGCCCCTCATTGTAGCTCTTATTTTCAGATTAACAATATGTATTTGTCCACTGTAGCGCCACATTTTACAATCATGCCTAATAAACCCAGAAGTTTTTCATTTTTTCTAGTATACATTCTGCTGTTAGACCCCAAAATGTACACCATTCCATGGGGCTGCCTGTGGGATGCAAGATATGGTTCTTTTAAAGACCATCATGCTAATGTTCTATGTTCTGATGCATTTGCCTTTGGTGCATACTATTGTTTCTTGTTTTGCTAGCTTTGTTCTTCCGTCCTATAATTAGATATGTGCTCTTTTGTGTACAAGTGCATTTTGTGATCTTTTGAAAACCTGAGTGTTTTCAAGCATAGATAACTTAATTAGGCAAGCTGATAATGAAGCCAGCTTATTTCAAAACATGTAGCAGTAGAAGCAAAATATGGTATATTTTAAGTTAGTATTTGAAAGCTAGTTCCTACATTTTTTGTCTCCATCTTTAAAATGGTGTAAAATAAAATACTGAAGTCTCTGCCAAGTTTCTCCAATGAAGTTTCATATAATTAATTTGAATCAGAATATGTTTCAATAGAAAGAGTCTCACAATGTCAGAAAGATGTGATGGATATCATCCAGGATTATTACATAATTTGCTAGATTTCTGAATATGATATTCTTCAGAGTTGCATTTGTTGCTTCCGAGATGTGAATTTGATGGGAATAATTTTCTTTTTTATTTTCATTATACTGATAATTAAGTGTTATTTTAGGAGAGACTATAAAAATCCAGGAATTTCATCTGACCTGTTCAAGTTCTGGACTTGATGAGAATAATTTTATTGCTGCCTATATGTTTTATGACATAGTTTTGGTGTGTCTGTGGCTCGCGGCCACTCTGACATTGGAATTTAGAGCGGTGTCCCACCTGCCCGGCTCTGAGGACAATGAAACATGTTATGTGTTATATTTTAATTCTAGAGGTGTTCTTTAATCCAATCACTCTGCAGAAAGGAGACTGTTAATGAAGAAGATTGCAGGGACTACTCTCCTGAAATATTTAAAATGGAGACTTTGTGACTATTATCTTTTCATTTTACCCCTGTGAGTGTTTACATTTTTCACAAACACCCCCCAAATAATTAAGACATCAATGAGCATAGGCGTCTGATTCACAGGTGGCAAAGACAAACTGCTAGAAGTTTGTTTTTGGAGTTTCTGTCAAAGGTCAGGTTTAGCTGAGATGATGAATGGCAACATGGAAAAAACCTTTTGTCATCATTGATTTAAACAACCAGAATAGGTTTCTGGAAATCGGCACTGTATTCTTTTATTTTTAATTAATGTATTAATTTATTTGTTTGGCGGTGTGTTCCTACAGGAGCTGGAGTAAGCAGCTGAATTTTCCCCAAACAGAGGTTTCAACTGTTCTAAATTTCAATATAAGCAGCTGGTGTTCAGCATTCAGAGTGGGTCAAGCCCCTCGTCTAGAAAAGGGAGATCAGTAGAAGGACTCAAAGCTGTACTTGGTATTTATGAATAACAGGTCTTTTAGCAACTGAACCACTGGAGGTGCAAAGGCTTTTGCGGCTTTCTGCAAGAGCTCCGCTCCACTTCCAGACAACAGCGGTGAGTGCTAGGATTGTTCCTCCATGCATCCCCTCTGTCCCATTCTCCCCTTGGTCCTTGAGAACAGGCACAGATATACCCAACACAGCACAGACCAGATGTTCAGTTCAATAGACAGAGGCCAAGATTGAAGACATAGTTATGGTGAAATAACTGGGAGCCCACTCAGCTCCACAGTGCAATCTGAGAATTGCCATGGGCTGGGAGGTTGGCACAGACAGCAGAAGTAGGGACATGGGTACAGAGAACCCCTGAGGAGTTGGGAGAGCACCTTAGTGCAGCATCCTAGACTAGGACACGAGGAAAATGGGGGAAACCCTGCATGCCCATCTGGAAGATGTGACCAAGCAGGCATGGCAAATTTATATTTATAGAAATGAAGCAATGAAGCACCAAATCATATGGTGCTGACTGTGAGTGACTATGGTTGATTTGGTAGAAAGAACACTCGTTGGGGATGCCTGGGTGGCTCAGTTGGTTAAACGTCTGCCTTCGGCTCAGCTCTTGATCCCAGGGTCCTGGGATCGAGCCTCATATCAGGCTCCTTGCTCAGCGGGAAGCCTGCTTCTCCGTCTCCCTCTGCCCCCTGCTTGTGTGTGTGTGTGCTCTCTCTCTCTCTCTCTCTCTCTCTCTCTCTCTCTGACAAATAAATAAATAAAATCTTAAAAAAAAAGAAAGAACTCTTGTTGGATAATCAGAGGACCTCATGGTGATTTCACAATGTAGTTGGATGTGAGTCTGTGAGAAAGTCACTATATGATCTCTTTACTCAAAAAAATGCTCTCAAAAGTTCCCGATGAAGTCCCCGGTGATCTCTGTGAAGTTTGACTCTTGCTTGATAGACTCTCCCTTCTTTCCCTGTTTACATTCTGTGGTCTTTGTCCCACATTCAGACTTCTTCTGCTCAGATACATTTTTTTTCTTCCAAGTAACTTACCAGATATTTCCACTCAAAAAATTTTTTTTATGTTTTTCAATTCCCAAATCTTCAATTTATATTGTTTACCTTTTGACTTATTTTATTATGAGTATTTGTATATGATGTCCATATCTGCCTTTGGTTCCTATCAGTTAATAGATTTTTCTTTCAATAACAGTAACTAACTCTGCCTGAATTAAGGAGGGAAAAACATATATATTAAATAATTTGGGGGAGGGCTACAGAAGCTGGCTTACAAGGTAAACAGCCAAGGGCAGATCTGCTAACATGCCCCAAAAATGGTCTCATGAAAACCCCACTACACAAAGACCAAGGTTGCTCTACCATCATCGATGGCATGCCTTTCTGCTTCTGAAAAATGAACGTAAGCACTGCCCTGCTGCCCCCTCCAAAAGCTGGGGTCTGTATCATCCTTGCTCTTCACTCACTAGTTTTCTTTGAGTTCTATGGTAGAACTCAAGTGGCACTTGAGATTAAGTTCAAGATCCTGTGACCAAGGACATTAAGCTGATGGTCACTTAAGTTTGATCCCATTTTAAAGAATTAATATTAATAACAATTATTATATAAATATGAATATTATATTAATTATGTTGTTTTCTGGGTTATTTACACCTATGTGCATGTTACTTAGGTATATCCATGGGACAAGGTGAGCTTAGGATCCCCCTCCTCCACCATCTTCCCTGGAAGTCCAAATATATCCACATTAAACCTTCAAAAAGTCAATCCTTGGGTTAACTCAGGGAATATAAGCACTCAACATCTCATAGTTCTTCTATATAAATAATGACTGTTTTTCTTTATCTTTGACATCTTACTTTTCATTAGAGCTCTGCTTCCAATATATTTCCCCTCGCATTTCTTGCTGATACTTCATATCCACTGCTAAGAAGTCAATGCCACCGACACAATTGCCATTTTAAAAAGTTCCCACTTTAATCATTGATATAAAAGTACCAGAAATCTGGAGCCAATAAAGCCAATGTTTTGTTTATAGCCTCCTGTTTCACTTTGTAGGTAAGCCCTGTTATTTCTTTCTATGTGTCCTAACATCGCAGTAATTAATGTTGTTATTCGATTATCTATACATCCCATCATGTATTTATTTAATAATTCAATAAATATTTATATAGTACAAATCATGCTTATTTAACAAAAAAATAACTGTGTGCCTTCTATGACAAAGGCACTCTACTGGACACCAATAGCGTTAGCAATTCAACAATAACAACAAAACTTCTCCTAATATTCTACTTGGAGAGACAAGATTCAGTAAACCTAAAAATGATAACATCATTTTGGTTCATGACGTTAAGAAATGCAATGTGTATGTGTGTGTGGGGGGGGTGATACCACTGAAAATTATTCCAATTTTCTAAAAGTAAGTGTTCCATTGTAAAATTAATTTTTTATCCCTGTGAATGTCTTTATGATGCTAGCTGTTTCTCTCATGAGAGAAGTTCTTGTCTGTGGACCAAAAGAATTGAGACATAACAAAGCTTACCCTTAGCCAAAAGGTCCATCATTGCCTAAAAAGGGACCCTATTCCTGTAGAGTCATAAAAATTTAAGCAATTAAGTAGAATGCTTACCAAAATGCCATAAGGAATATTAATTAATTAATTTTTAATTTTTTTTTTTTTTTTAGTTAACAACCTCTGAGAAAAAGGCAAGGATGGAGATTTACCACTATGCACTTAGGGCAGTTATACACTGCGTGCAGTATTTCCATCCAAGACAAAGTCATCAGTGAAAACTTAAGACAAAGGAAAAGTCCCAGTTCTTGAAGTACTCACTTAAATCAATTAACCTCAACTATAATTCAAGGGAACATATTAAGTGAGGAAGGAATAGTGGAATAAATCTCATGTGCCTCAACCAATAAATAATGTCTTTTGGTCAGGAAATAAAAAATGTGTTTTGAATATCTTTATACTTTGGGTCATAAGAAATATATAAAAGCATAGCAAAGAAAAGCCTTGGATAGAGTTCTCTTTCTGCCAAGACATATTTAAAATGTAGTACCCAGCATGATTAAATAGTTAAGTTTAATAGAGTATAAGTTTTTGCCCCATAAAATAATCTCTCTTTGCTGGTATTGATTTACTAACACCTTACTGAGTGGAATGTGTGTTTTGCAGGATGTTTTGGGGAGTCTTATTGATTCACTGCAAGTCCAGAGGATGGGAAGAATAGAAATGGCTTTGATTTCATTTTTTCATTAAAAAGTCAGTTGTGATCAACCTTAAAACTCAAAGGTAATCTCAGTTTATGATCTGTACCCCTTTAAAAATGTTTTCTCCATGAGGCCAAAAGAAGCTAGTTAGAGTTTAAGCTTCATTAATGGAAAGGAAGAAAGGCAATGGTGTCTTTCTGTTCCGAGCTAGTGATACCAAAACTACAGAAATGTATTCAAATTCGGGCGATAAACTTTAAGGAAATCTAGAGATAAATTGCAAATGCATTAAGAATAGTGTGACCAAAACATTGACAAGACCCAGTGCCAGGTAAATGAGGATATACATGTTTTTGTTGTTTTTGTTTTGTTTTGTGTTTGTGTGATCAGTGTCTTTATGCATTTGGATGATTGCCATGTACAAATGGGATTATACTTCAAAAAGTCTGAGTACAGGCTTTAGGAAACTGATCCTGAATCAACAGAAGAAAGTATATTCTCAGCACTTTGAAAGGCTGAAAACACAGAGATGCTGGCCATTTTCACAAGATGTGCTAAAACTGGAAGTCCAGCTAGAAAGGGGTATAGTGTACAGAAGACTTTAGCAGAAATGAGCATCAGAGTCGAATCTAAATTGTATGACCTTTTACCTTCATCTAAACCAGAGAATCTATAATGTCATTAAAGTGTACATATGTTTATAATAAATCAGTATTCCTGAAAAGGCACGACTAATCGTTATTTTAAAATTAAGTAGTTCGTGTTTTCATAAGAAAGAATTATTCTATTATTGGAAACTTCTAGATACAACAATAAAAATAAAAGAAAAAATTATTCCATTCTCTTTATTTGTACAATGTTAGTATGGTCATGCATTAGTGCATTTCCCCATTTTAGGAATCTCTATTTTTTAAAAATGTTTGTTTATTTATTTTTAATTCCAGTATAATAAGCATACAGTGTAATATTAATTTCAGGCATACAATATAGTGATTCAACACTTCATACATCACTCTGTGCTCATCACGACAGGTGTCCTCCTTCAACTCCATCACCTGTTTCTGCCATCCCCCCGCAACCTACCTTCTGGTGACCATCAGTTTGTTCTCTACAGTTAAAAGTGTTTCTTTTTTTTAATTGTATGTTTGTTTTGTGTTATTTTAATCATTTTGTAAATATAGCATTTTGAAATTAATATAAAAACTTTTATTTCTATTATACTTCATAGTTTAATGACTTAAATTATCTTACAAATAATAAAGAAATAATAATTTATCACTAATTCCCTTATTGCTGTATATTTAGTGTAAATTAGAAGGTTGATATTACAAATAATACTGAGATAAAAAAATCAGTGCATACAGATTCTCCCTTATATTGGATTATTTTGTAAAAGTATTACTTTTTTTTTAATAACAAACGAGGTTGAAAATACACTAAATATGATTTTTCTTTAGGGAAATATAAATTAAAACCCCAATGAGACACTGCTACACAATTATTAAAAAAGCTAAAATTCAAAATGCAAAACACACCTAAATGTTGAAAAGGAAGGACTAGAATTTTCATACACTACTGATGAAAATGTAAAATGGTACAATTTTGCGAGAGTTTGGCAGTGTCTGAAATAGCCCAACATGCACTACCATATGAGCAAATCACATCATTAAGTAGAAATCAACCTCAAGATCACATAGCTATTGCATTTAGCAGGCAAAACCTTTAAAGCAACTAACAAAGAGCCAAAGGAAAACATATTCCAAATATTAAAGTAAAATATTATCATGATTAGTAAATTGATAGAACATATCAAAGTTTAAAAGTGTTTAAAGTGTACAAAGTGAAAGGAAAATTTCCCTAAATTAACTCAACAGTAGTTTGAAGATGTCAGAAATTTAGTGTCTGTGGAATGGAAGGCAGAAAAATAGAAATTATCCAATCTGAGGAATAGACATTAGAGAATAGGACCAAAGAATAATAGACTCTCAGATACCGGGGTAGACTATTAAATGGATTAATGTAAAAAGTGATGAGGACGAGGCCAAAAATAAAGTTATGAATAAATAAAGCACAAGAGTCCCAAATTTGGTTTTTAAAAAAATCAGTTTACTCATTCAACAAGCCCGTAAGGCCTAAGCAGGATGAATAAAAACAAACAAAACCTCTTACACAGACACATAATTGTGAAACTTCAGAAAAATTTAGGGAAAAAATGAAATGCCAAAATAATTACTTCTGATATAACATCCTTAAAATAAGAAGTTGAAATAGAGACATTTTCAGATTAATGAAAGCCGAAGGAATCTGCTCCAAGAAACCTGCACTACGGGAAAAAAAAAAAGAAACCTGCACGAAGGGAAATGCCAAGAGATACTCTTCAGACTGAAGGGAAAGGATACAAATAAAAGCTTGCTTCTATCAGGAGGAGTAAAGCGCTCTCTGAGATAATTAAACTTCGTGCTTTTCGTCTTGTAGTTTCTTTTTAAGTAAAAACTGCTTAAGAAAAAAGAACCGTGCTAGGTGGTGATTACTACATACGTGGATAGAAAAGTATATGAAAAAAATAAAGTGCAAAGCAGGAGGTTGGGTCACTGGAATCAAGCTGTTGTAATGTTTTATTTCTGAAAAAGCAAGGAAGAAATGTTAAAGGTAAAATGTGACTTTGGCAATGCTGAAAATAGACTGTTCAAAAAACACAGTGACAGGACATGAAAGGACAAGCCATAGACTGGTAGAAGAATTCCACTACAGATCTCTGGCAAGGACTGAAAGCAGAAGATAAAAGTAGCTCAATAATAAGAAACCACCCAAAAGAAGAAACTCAGAGAAACTTCACAAAAGAAGAGTCATAAATGATCAACAAGCATAGGAAAAGATGTTCAGTATCATTCTCTATGAGGAAAATCCTAATTAAATTCCCAGATTAGATACCACTGCACCCCTAATAGAATTTCTAAATTAAAAAGAAAAAAAAAAAAAAAAAGTTCCAAGTGCATGTGAGGATGCAGAGCACCTGGAACCCTAGTGGGAATGCAAAGGTGTGTAGCCACTTCAGAGCTAAATATCCACTTCCCATAAGACCTGTCAATGTCAGTCCTGGGCATTCACCCCAGAGAAATGAATATATGTCCGCAAAAGACTTTCCCAAGGATGCCCACAGCAGCTTTATTTCTACACATTAAGAATTGGAAAAAACCAAACTGTCCGCCAACAGGTGAACTGGCAAATTTATATAATAGAATATTAATAAGCAATAAAAATGAACCAACCACAGATGCAGGCAACAACATGATTGTGTCTCAAAAACATTATGCTGAGCAAAAGAAGCCAGATGCAGATTATTATATGCTACATAATTATTTTATATAAAGTTCAGAAGTGATACACGTATAATAAAATTTCCCAAGATCAGTCCTAATTCCTAAGGCCATATTTTATACGTAGTCACGTCCCCCACAGATTTTTGTATGCAACAGCAACTTTTGACACTCGAGAACATTGAACTAACATGTGTGAACACATAGAGCAGAAAAGATGAGATTTAAGTTATGACACATAAGCTGGGATGGAAAAATGACAGTGCTAATACAGTTTAAGAGTTCAGACAGTTTGCTGAGTGACTTTACTTTCTTGACGAGTGTCTGTGACAGGCACTCAGAACACAGACGATGCACTTCATGCAGAGGTAAGGCTCAACAAAACGGAAGAGTGAATCACGAGTGTGCTTTGTATGTCCTTTCTGAAAATGGAACTGCCTACAACAAGTCATTACAGAGTTATTTACAAAGGTTTGGCTTCCACTTTTCCCCCAATAACCACACTCAGAGTGTAGATTTCATTCAAACTTAACATAAATCACAAGCCTGTAACCACGAGGTCACCCGTGTAGTAAGCCTACGCTTCTTTAGAATTTTAATATTTATAAGACTCTTTGCAAATAGTAACTATAACGTCTATTTTACTGCTCATTTAGTTATTCCTGATTGAATAGTGTAACTACTCTGTGCTTCTTTAAAATTTATTCTGTCCTTTTCTAAAAATAGCATGATTAGTAGACAACAACACAAATAATGTGCATTTACCAAACTCACTTTATTTTCTGCAAGCTGATACCTACTAATAAGAAACTAGGTCTACAGTCATTGATGTCATCCATGTGGTCTTTCTGGTGACTTTTCTACCGACAGACTTTCATGAGATTTGGAGGGAAAACTACTCTCATTTTACATCTGACCTCACAGCACAGGAACTATTTCATATAACCTTGTTTTTTCAACCATTGCTTTTTAGACAAGGTGCATTTGAAAATTAATATGTCTTAATGTGTAAAATATAAGAGTTCACCTTTAGAGGTTGCTACACTGAAGAAAAATAGAAACATAGGAATCACATATTGATGTTAGTTATTTGGAGCTGGGAGGTGGGTGAGGTGAGGACCAGCAAGGCTGGTTGTGTTGAAGTGAGCCTTGGCTCATTTCCCATGAGAGAAGGTGCTACATACCGCATCAGAGAGGGCTGGAAAGATGACCTCATTTTCAGATCTGTGAGGCAAAGAAGGAAGATAATTGGGTGTTCAAATTCATGAGGCAAAAATCAAGTCACTGTCCACTAAATACCTAGCATAAAATAATCTCAAAGTCAAACCTATGACACGACTACAAGAAGGTCAATTGCATGGTTATAGACACAGAAATGTATTAAGTATTGAAAGTTATACTTCTAAACCAGCAGCACTTTTTCCTAATCTGAATATATATTCTGCACCATTATGATAGCCTTTGGTGTGCTCATAGAGCATTAAGTAAACTTCTAAGTATTTTCATTAAAGAAAAACAGAAGTAGATGAAATTAAAAGTTAGTGCTTTAATATCATCTATTTTTTGTTCCTCATTCTAGATTCTAGTTTTGAAGAAGTAAAAGCCCAGAGAAATTGATGTGGTCAAGACTGCCAAAATTTCCAGATGAGATCTCTTCCAAATACACCAGCAGACAAGGAAGGAGTCCCTGAGGTCTTAGAAGAGGTGAGTACAGTGAGACCTGGACAAAGCTCTGAGTGTTTCCCTCATCTCAGGCAGATAGTATGACAAGAGACATTGAGAACTGATAAAATCATACATTTTCTTGTACTGTGAAATCAACCATTAACCAAAGTATGTCCACATTTACACCATCTCAGAAGGATTTTGGTCATCACACATTTAGGTTGTTGGGCACTTTAACTCCTGGATAAAAGTGAACTTCAAACTGATGGACTAAATCAACTATCCAGACTTTTTGAAAAATCAGATTTAAGATCTTATGTGACCAGATCATAGCTGTAAGGTAGAGATCACATAGCCTACCTCATTTTATTCATGGAGGTGGCATGGGGCCAAGCACCAAAGGCTCTGTATGCATTAAGGACACACCACGTATCCAATGCCTAGAGACAGTAATGGCTAGCTAGAGAAGAAGTGAAATATATTGGCTAGAGAAGCAAAATAAATGGAACTTTTGAGTTTTTTTGGAAAATATTCTTTCATATGTTTGATTTCCACTTCAGGAAAAAAATGCTAATTAAATTATCTGCAGATAATTGAATAGGTACTGTGTACAATATCCTATAGTTATCTCCCTATATGTTTTTACCTGAAGTGTGTTTATTTTATTTCACTTGTAGGACAGTCCTTCAAAGTCTATGCAAACTGTGTCCACATTAACCTATGGGAATTCACCTCCAAACCCCATGGCTTTCTAGGAAAGAACTTCTACACACACACACACACACACACATCAGTTCTGCTTCAGTTTGTGAAGGGATATTCTTTTGTTATTCACAGTTCTCATTAACTATGAGGGCTGCAGGGCAGTGAACATTATCCTTTTGCTTCTTCTGCACAGTGGAAGCATTCTTAGGTTGACTAGATTAAGCACTTTGCTTTTCATTTGTGTATTCAGATTCCTCATCTCTGATGTGCCTCGAATCTCCAGGATTTCCTTTACATTAAAATCCCAGTTATAGATGTTTTCTCCTTAAGTGATTAACATCAACGCTTAGACTTTTCTAAACTCAAATTTAAATTACAGCCAACTAAAAATTTCCCACTGTTTCTTTCAGAAATAGGCATTTTACATGTCAAATGAAAATAGGGATCTTATGTGTCAAATGAAATAGATGTTTTAGAAAATCTAGACAAGCATCAGAAATTCTCCAACAGAGGTGGAAATGAGACAAATTAAACCTGCATCGAGATGAAATCCTGGAGATTTAGCCTGTCTACAAAAGCCAACAAGAAGCATAAGAGATTTACGGGGAAATTTGTTGTATTAATACTAGCAAAATGCACGGGGAACTCCCTTCTTGATCTGATCCTTAATGATTATTCCAGATTTGTACCAGGATTTTTTTTCTACTAATGTAACAAAAGTATGTCCCCATATAATCATAAATCAGGAAAAAGTCAGTCTTGACATGCCTGTTTTTCAAGCTTTGGTGTTGTGAGAAATTAAAATACTAACTTACAAAGGCGTGAACGTCAGTTACACTCTGTGCTCACTGGATGCATTCTGTTTCTGAGCATGGGAAGAAACTAGTCACTCTAGTTATGCCATATGTTGTGAACATTTCTCTACTGTCTTGTCTGGGCTGTTACTTTCTTTGACAGTGTTTTCCTTTTGTCCGTGAATTCATTGCTATAGCCCTGTGTAACGACTAATTTGGTCAATTTTGGAGCATAAGGGAATACTCATAATAGGTATCCAAACTCAGGACTACCTTAGTAGCAAAGAAGAAGCAAGGACATACCTCTAAGCTTGTGTTCAAGGAATTCTAAGAAGTTAGTTTTGCTAGAAGTAGGAGTCGGACTGAAATGCCATCCAAGTGTTATATTCTCGTGGGATTTTTGTACAGAGAACCAAGAATATTTAAATTCTGCCCTGACTCCACCCAGCTCTCCTACTTGCCAGGTGTTCAGAAGAAATGCATATGTGTAAGAAATAATGGAAAACAGAATAAGGGGCGCCTGGGTGGTTCATTCGGTTAAGCCTCTGCCTTCGGCTCAGCTCATGATCCCAGGGTCCTGGGATCAAGCCCTACATCGGGCTTCCTGTTCACCAGGGAGTCTGCTTCTCCCTCCCCCTCTGCCTGCCACTCTGCCTATTTGTGATCCCTCTCTCTCTGTCAAATAAATAAATAAATCTTAAAAAAAAAAAGAAAGAAAGAAAACAAAATAAAGTCAACCTTTACATTAACTAGTGATTTGGCCACAAAACCCACTGTAGGACTCTTATACATTGAATTTGTTTTCTTTGGAAACCCTCAAATTAAAGTCAGCAAAAGTACCTGCCACTCCCTGTGTCCTTCATGCGCAGGTGGAGATCTCACATCTCATCCTTCTGATGAGGGGAAGAGTCAAGCCAAAGCACAAAAGTAGGCCCACAGCACATACAAACACATCCACCTGCCCATGTACACACACATGCTTGCTCAGGAACGAAAGAAAGAGAATATCTTTTCTTAATGTCTGTCTTAGATCTGTCCAAGCCACAGACTCAGCTTTCTGAGCTGCAGAAGGAAATTCAAAGGAGGAAGGCAGGTGTCTGGCTCTTTAATCTTTTGGTACATTCTTACCTATATTTAGCAACATCTGTTGCAGCAAGAGATAGCAATTTTGATTTGAATTTTGATTTGAATATCTGAAGTCCTTCCTCTCTGTGCAACCCCATTTGTATCCCATTTAATATGCCACTTCCTACTTCAGCTCCAGTGGGTTTGGCCCAACAGATAAATGTGGAATTTGCTTTAAGATGTTATCTGGGTGGACAGAATGTCAAGTGTTCTCTCAGGACACTGGACCGGATCTATTGACAAGGCAATGGTCAATGACCTGGCCTCCCTCGGCTGACTGAAGGTCTGTGTAAGAGTTAGTGTAAAGAGATAGAAAGCAAGGTTATTAGGACATGGAGGACAGTGCTCTTTCTCTCTCTCCTTCATCCCTCTCCCTTCTCTTTGGGGACAACCATATGCTCTCCCCCAGAAAGGGAAAGGAAGTAATGGATCTGCTGCTAATCATTTCCTTCCCAATCAGTAACTTTCAAGGAGTTGTAATGACCATGATTGTGAAATCATATGAAACTGGTGTAAAAATGTTTGTGAATGAAAAATTTTATCATCAGAAGTGACCTTACTCCATTTTCAGAGCTTTCCCAGACAAATAATAGGTGGGCTTTTTTTTTTTATGTTTGTCCATTCCTTCACTAAATATTTATTGAGCACCTACTTAGGGCCTGACACATTTAATGATGCCTTCCTCTCTAGTATAAGTGAAATAATCCGTACAAGGGAAATCACCAAATTCCAGGAGTCAGGAGGGGTTTATTACAAAGCTAGTGCAGGAAATTCCCATGTGCACTTCACCAATGTTAATTTATTTAATCTTCTCACTCTCATACACACATAAAATTGGTTCTTTTAGGAGCCCATAAATTACTTGTCCAATGTCACATGGCTAGTAAATGGTGAAGCTGTGATCTGAACAGCCCGCCCCCCCCACCTCGTGTCCGTGTACTTAATCATTATGCTACACTTGATCGCTATTCATGCGCTAATATAATAAGAACAGTTTTTACTTAAATGGAAGAAGTTAATAATAGAATATTTAGTGTAAGAAAAATATACAAGTAAACAAGATAGAGAGGGGGCAGGTGGCGAAAGAAAGAGAAACAGAGAAAAATGCCAACAGTTGAGGCACTACTGTGTAGAGGGATTTCCTGCCCGTGCCTGGCCCACCTGGGTAGCTGTTCTCCACCACTTCACTCCCATGGAACCAAAAACCCAGACAGATTTAGAGATGGAAGCTTAGTCAGGACTTCACATCTTTCCATCCCCAGTGTTTCAATATTAAATTCCTTTGAAATGAAAACAGTGTTGATATTAGGTCCTCAAAAGATAATAACAATCTTGCAGAGAGAATTTAAATGAAAAAAGAAAAATCTTAGGGGATGGCTGTTTCTTGACTGTGAAGCCATCATCTCTCATTCAGTCTAACTAGATGGCATCTTCCAGTGATGATATGTAACACTTTATCTCGGCTCTGAAATCTGCTGGGCATTTTCTTTGCAGGGACCCTGGTTCAGGAACACTCATTTCCTCTTATAAAAAAAAAAGAAGGAGGAGGAGGAGGAGGAGAAGAAGAAGAAGAAGAAGAAAAAGAAGAAGAAGAAGAAGAAGAAGAAGAAGAAGAAGAAGAAGAAGAAGAAGAAGAAGAAGAAGAAGAAGAAGAAGAAGAACAGAACTTTGTACCTTCTCAATTCATATCAAGACTTATGTTTTTGACTCAACCTATCCTAATAAGCTGCCCAAGGTAATTTCCCAAACCTTATTCTGTATTAATATTGTGAATTTTAGGTTTTATTAGTATAATTTTCAAATCCCAAAATTAAATCTCTTTAGATTTGAAGGTATGAGAGGCAGTTTAATTAAAAATCAACTTATGGAGATTTTCAATTGTAATGTTTAAATGATCTGTTACAATACAAAATACAAGAAGAGAGTAGTAGCATCTGTTATGATTAGAGATGTCTTTGGTAATTCTCAAAAGATTTTGCCTTCTGGAGCGGTAACTACTGAAAATCACTGAGTTGAAGCAGGAGCTTGGGAAATGAAATTCTGGGACTATCTGTGACACCTAGAATACTACACAAGTGGTTGATTTCTCTTTAAAAAAACTTTATTAAATATTATTTTATTATGTCTTATTTATTTAGTGCATATGCTGCTGAATTTGAGTTGCTACATATTGGAGCAATATTTTAGAGAACAATAAATGGACGGTATCCATTATTAATTATTAATTTTCATCTACCTCAGATTGCCATTTAAAATCAAATGCTATCGCATTGATGGCTCCCTCTTTTCTGACACATCATAAAGTTTTGTATCTCTGTACTTCTGTTCCTTACCCTGGGATTATTGCAGTGTACACATCTATTACTCTACCCAGATCGCCTTGACTCCCTGCTGCAGTGACCTCCCACTTTTGCTAGACCTGAAATGAATGGCTTACATCTCAGCCTTCTGCAGAGATTCACTTTGGCTGTCAAGAGACACCTGGAGTCTTTACACTCCAGAGCTCCCCATGGGTGAGTCAAGGTATTAAGTTAATTCATTCTACATGTATTCATCCAAAAACCATGTGTTCAATACCTGCTACACACCCGACACTAGTTTAGGCATCAACAACACAAAAGTGAGTAAAACACACAAAGTCCTGTTCTCATGAAGCTTATATTCTAGTGAAGGGAGATGTGATCAATACAAGCAGACAAATTAGTGCACTAGATAAATTTAGACAGAAATGAATGTAATAATGAAACTGAGTCGTGCAATGGAAGTGAAAATTTCCTTAGACAGGGCATTCAGGGAAACGATCTCTGCAGAACTAAGCCATGATAGTATTCTTATATAAAGCTAAGAGCTTATCAAGAGTGTAGAGCATGCATGTTTTGCACAATGACATGCATAGCTTATAAAAAAAAAAGACTGACATAAATACTCCACTGTTAGTTGAATAGAATTCCCGAAAATAATGTCCTGATTCTATTTCTTTGAAACTTTATTCTTTAGTTCAATGATACTCAACAGTAAGTTGAGAGATCCTGTTTCAAATCATGTCTAATTAAGAAGCCCTAAATTATCCTTATTCAATTTCCATTGAAATATCCGTGAAGACTGAGAGAGAGAAAAAAATCACAACTTGAAAAGCCAAGTCTTCCAGGCAAAAAATTAGCAATTTCTGATAAATCTTGCAAAAATAGTTCAAAAGAACTGGATAAAGGATAAAGGTGTGACGTGTGCATATTCTTTTTTTTAAAATAATTTTTTATTTTATTTATTTTATTAGAGATCTAATATTGCATTCACTGTCCCCTGTTGGCAAAGTCACCCCAAAAGAATGGAGAGATCAGTAATCATCCCAGTTGGTGTAATACTGCATTGTTTCAAAACCAACTCATAATTGATGCCAAGTAAAAGCACTGTGTGCCCATTAAAATATGGCATGGTTGAAGAAATAAAGTACATTTGAAACCTTCAAAAAAAACATTTTTTCAGATCTCATCTTTTTTATTTCTTGTATAATTTCACTTGGTCAGAGAACATATTTTGTACAAGTTCTGCCCATTTAAATTTACTGAGATTTTTCTTGTGGCTCAGAATGTGTTCCATCCTCATGAATGTTCCCTTTTACTTGAAAAGATGCATATTTAATGTGGTTTTTGGGTGCAGTGTTCTATGAATGTATATGTGTGTGTATATATATATATATATATATAATAAGGATCATTATCAGGTGTGGTTTATCTCAGGATACATGGCTTTCTTAACATTTGAAATCTAAATAATGTAATTCACCATATTAATACACAGAAAAGGAAAAAATATATATTTATCTCAATAGATGTAGAAGATATTTTGGCAAAATTCATATCCATTCATGATTAAAATGATAGAAAAACTAGCAGCAAACGAAATAAGGGAACTCCCTCAACCTAATCAAAGCATGTATGAAAATCCTACAGCTAAAAAAAAAAAAAACAAAGAAAATCTTCCAGCTAACATCATAATTAATGGTTAAAATCTGAATGCGATCCTCCTAAGACTGAAAACACTGCAAGATGTCTGCTCACATCACTTTTATTTCCCTCTGAAATAGAAGACGTAGTTAAGGCAGTAAGCAAGTAGAGGAAATAAAAGGCATACAGATGGGAGGAGAGGAGGTAAACTGCTTAATTACAGATGCCATGTTTTTTATGAAGGAAATTCTAATATATATATATATGAGAAAGCAGCTAGAACTAACAAGTTCAGCAGTGGTACAGCATGTGAGGTAAAAATAAAAACTCAACTGTTTCTATATCTGAACAGTGAAGAATGGAAATTGGAATTGGAAAAAATACTATTTACATTTGCAAATGAAAATAGGAAACATTTACGAATGAATTTAACAATGTGTAAAATCTATACATTGAAACCACAAAACACTGCATATATTTGAAGGTGAAATATAGAGGTTATATCATGTTTATTAATCTAAAGACTCAGCATTGTTAAGTTGGGAGCTCCCCAAAGTGAACTATAGATTCAATGTGATCCCTATGGAAGTCCTGAGAGGCTTATTTTTTGCAGAAATTAAAAAGCCCTTGTTTAAGTTTATATGCAAACAAACAAACAAAAAAAAAAAACTAGTATAGCAAAAATACCTTTGTAAAAGCAGACCAAAGCTGAAGCCCTTGTACCTTTCATTTCATGACATATTATAAGTTGATGGTAACCATGAGTGTGCTGTTGGCATGAAGATAGACCGACAGATCAATGGGAAAAGAACACAGAGTTTAGAAATAGAGACAAATGTTTTATCAACTGATTTTCAAACAACGAGTCAAAGTAATTCAATGGGAAAGGAGTTTTTCCAACAAATGATTCTGGTACAATTGGACATCCATGTGCAAAAGAAGATAAACCTTGACCCACTTCTCACACCGTATATAAAAATTAATTTATAAGAGACAGTAGACCTAAATATTGTGAACAGGAGCATACAATTTCCTGTACAAAACAAAAATACCCTGTGACCTTGAGGTTAGCTTTATGTTCTTACATAGGACATGGACATCACAAACCACAGAGAAAAGAATGGAAATTGTATTTCATCAAAATTAAAAATGCTTCTTTCTCACAAGACATTATTAAGAAAATGAAAAGGCATGCCATGCATTAGGAGAAAGTATTTGTTGAATATGTATCTAATAAAGGGCATATATCCAGAATAGATAAAGAACTCTTAGGGCACCTGGGGGGCTTAGTTGGTCAAGTGTCTGCCTTCAGCTCAGGTCATGATCTCAGGGTCCTGGGATTGAGCCCCACATTTGGCTCCCTACTCGGTGGGAAGCTTGCTTCTCCCTCTCTCTCTGTCTCTCAAATAACTAAATAAAATCTTTAAAAATAATAAAAATAAGGAAACAATTTGCCCTATTTAAAAAAAAAGAAAGAAGGAAAAAGAGAAAAAGAAAAAGAAAACCAGCAGATTTGAGCAGAAACTTCAAGTGTAACGATCCACTCTGAAAAATGGCCAGAGCTCAAAATCATTATGCTAAATGGAAAAGTGGTCAGTCAGAAAAGTCCACATATTCTATGATGTCATTTATATGAAATGTCCAGAATAGGTGAATCTGTAGAGAAGGTAAAAGAATTAGGGGTTGCCTAACCTTTAGGGGATGATAAAAATATTCTAAAATTAGATGATGTTAACATTTGTATAATTCTGTAAATAAAGTGAAACCCATTAAATTGTATCTCCCAATTGGGTGGCTTTTAAAGTACATAAATTATATCCCAATAAATCTGTTAATAAAAAGAGCTACAAAATGATAACTAAGGATACAAAAAAGATGCTTAACATAACAATTAGGAAAAAAATCACAATGAGGAAATCTCTGTACATGTAAAATGGCTAAAATTGACATTTGGATAATACCAAATGTTGGAGAAACTCTGTTAGGATTTTCATGTCTTGTATGAGGATACAAAATGGTCCATCCTCTTTGAAAACCATTTGGCAGTTGTATATAAAGTTGACTATTTACTTTCCTTGTGACCAAGAAATCTCACTCCTAGTCATTTATCAAATAGAAATAAAAACCCATGTCCATACAAAGACTTGTATTCAAAGGTTCAAAGCAGCTTTATTTATCATAGTCAAATACTGGTTATAACTTAAATGTCTCTCAAATTGTGAGCAGATAAATAAATTGAAGTGTGTTTTTATGATGGAATACTACTCAGCAATATAGAGAAGAAATTCCTGACACATACAGCAACAGAGGTAAGTGTCCACAGCATTATGGTAAGACACAAAGAACTATATACAATGTATAATTCCATGTGTATGAAATTCTAGAAAATGAAAAACTCTAGAGACACAGCATATTAGTGATTGCCAGAATGAGAAGTTGAACTGAATCACACACTTAAAATTAGTGAATATATTATTTATAAATTCTGCCTCAAGAAAGTTTATTTTTTAAAAATCATTTAAATAATTGCCATATCTTTTGCTTATAACATAACCTATTACCAGTGTCATATCAAAACCAAATGATGCTTTCATGCTATTAAATATTTTAATTT